TATGCAACCAGTGTTTCATACAAAAACTGGGATATTTTTTACTGGAGAATGCTTTCACTAACGAGTTTGTTGTTGTGCTGGCATGGTTACAGCCGACAGTAACTATTTACACAATAAAGTGATGGTTATTCACGTTTTCCTCCATTCCAGTATCCAGCAGGACGTCACAATATAAAAATAGGGATAGTTTTTACCGGAGAATGCGTGCACTTTAACCAGGAAGAGTTCGGGTTTTTTTACATTACAAACAGCAACAGATAATAAAGATTTAAACCTAAAAACCCACAAAACAAAGCAGAGAATAATTTTTAAATTAAAAGGGACAAGGTGGAGAAAAATGCGCTGTTTGAGTCTGTTCATTTACTGACGGTAAACAAAGTCCGACTCCCACCACAGCTGCAGCTGAGACTAAAGTTTAAATCAGCACCAACACAACTCTCATGAAGTTCATTCCTTCCGGAATGACGTGACCTGCGGTACTCCCGAAAAAATGTCATCCTCTACTGGAGACCACTTCCACCGCGGATCCTCTTATGTTCAGGGGGGTGTAGGTGTGTTTGTTCCTTCTGAAGTGCACAATCATCTCCTTTGTCTTCTTCACATTGATGTGAAGGTTGTTCTTCCTGCGCCAACTCTCCAGATGTTCCACCTCCTGCCTGTAACTGGAATCGTCGTTGTTTGTGATGCATCCAACCACCGCTGTATCATCTGCAAACTTTAAAATGTGACAGCCTGGATGGGTAGGTGCACAGTCATATGTGAGTAGAGTGAACAGGAGGGGGCTCAACACACAGCCCTGAGGTTCCAGTTGTGCACATGACAATAAGCACTTTGAATCCTTGAGTCCTATTTCAGGACCACAGGCCCAGAAAAGAAAACCTCAGAGTCCACTCATTGTGAGAGGGTTTGGTAATGAATGCAAAAGCAAGAAGAAATTATGTCTTAAGCGGCCTCTCATATAGGACTGATGGGAAAAATGGTTTACTCAAAAAGAAAACACATTGAATATTGAAGCTAACAAATATTATTGCTTTGGTTTCTATCTTGAAGCAAGATGTTTCATGGGGACATGTTGAGATGCTGATTTTAGACCTGAAGCGACTCAGTGGTGTAGTTTTGTTTTCCCCCTGTAGTTTTTCTGTAAAATGAATTGATCTGTTCTGTAGTTTCTTCCAGAACATCAATGGTTGTTATGGTTGCTGGTTAT